AACGCACGAACCACCCATCCTGCATCCACGAAGGCTATACTGGATTGAAGAAAGGATTCACCTTCAAATAAGATTGATTGACAGAGCAGTCGGTGGACATCCAGACATCTAGCACCTGCCAGGTCCATCCTCTCAGATGTCTGAGCTTTCTTATGCGACCCTTCCGCTGATGCTCCGTACACCGAGCTTCATCGACTCACTTCCCTTTCTGATCGTCCAGGCTACCATGAACTCGTAAAAGAGGAAGAAGAAGAAAGTTTGGGCGACCGCAAGTCATCTGAAATTCTCCACCTCAAAGCCCATAAAGGCTTGCCTAATGAGTTGCAATATAGACATGGCCGACTTGACCGCCTTCGCGCAGTTCAGTATTGGCTAGAATGAGGATGTAATCCACGCACCCAAGTACTCCAGACTGCCAACCATCTGCAATGGTGTACCGTTTAGAAAGTAAGTCCTAACCTTGGAGTCTTTGGAGTAGCCGACATGACAAAAGTTGTACTTACTTACGTTGGAGGGCATAAGTCAGCGCTTCGACCAGTCCCCGAGCTTGCTCGATATCTGGGGTCAAATCAATACCTCATCGTCCACTATGACTATCAAAATAATCACGCATAAGTCATTGAGTTCGAACCGGCCGTGCTGTGGAACGCACACTGGGCACCGTGGATCACGAGGGTCGAAATGTCACACCATCCTGGCAGACAGACGCGAACACCTATCTCTCAGCGTTGGATTCATTAAGCGGTATGCCCAGCGGCGCCCGCGACCGTCAGTACCACGAATGCCGGATCTGACGAGAGGGAGACCTAAGGTAACACGGAGGGTGTGAGTTCCCTGTTCACGCCTTCTTTGCGATTACTAGCCACCGCCACCACCACCACCACCACCATCACCACCACCCCCACCACCACCACCGCCGTCATTACCATTAATGCCGGATCTGACGAGAGGGAGACCCAAGGCACAACGGAGGGTGTGAGTTCCCTGTTCACACCTTCTTTGTGCTAATTGGCCACCCAACAGCAAATGACAGTTCCCCCCTCTGCCATATACCCAGCCGTTTCCACACGCCTCCGCACTTCTGCTGTTTCTCGTACTCAGCACGCATCCAATTTACAACTAACATTTTCTTTTGCATACATAACACATAGTAGTTTGCCTTAGAGGCTGACAGAGTATAGTCAGGCATGGAGACTACCAGGCGTCACATTACGCTAAACGGAGGACCTGCTTGCATAATCTACTATCGCCTCAATTGCAAGCCTAACTCCGCCCAGGTGGACTTCGTGCGTAATGACTCAACTGCTAGTTGAAAACCCGTTTTCACATCGAGAGACTCGTAAGTCGTTCCTGCTTCCACCTCGCTGTGGAGCGCACGGTGGACATCATCGGATGTGATGGTCGAACTGTCATAAGGGTAGAACCCCTCAGTCGATGACAGAATGGTTACCCGTCCCTGAAGAATATTGGTCTAGGCTACATGCAAGGCTGCGTCTCATCCTTGTGGACTTTAGAGATTGTGTCGATTGGCGCCTCCGTCTATTAACTACACTCGACTTTCATGACCGCGTTGGTCCATTCCCGGCCCATCGGCTGCGAAAGCCAGACACTAGAATTAGGGAGAAGAAAGCGAGAGAGGAATTCGCTTTATTTGGAAAGTATCAATTCGAAATTTTCAGCAAAAATGTGCTCCATTCACTATGGGCAGCAAATATGTTAATAGATTACTCAAGAGTCAACATGTTTAACAAGGAAGGAACGATTATTATGGGGACAGTTCAAGTCTTAGCTTCAGTACTCCTATCTCTTCACACGTAATATAGGGCGCAAGGAATGGCAATACAGAATCTCGATATGACAGGATAGCAATATAGAATAAGAAGTAGGATGCATTCACCTATGAATCGCCAGATTAAGGGTTGAGGTATGTGGTAGGAACGTAAACGACGAATGTAATAAAGATGTTCATGCACTTTAGTATATAGGGATTAAATATGGAGGGAAAATGAAAGAATTGATGACAAAGTAATGGAAAGGAACCTGAAAGAGTATACCACGTTAGGCAGGATGCCAAAGGACTTTGGACTAGGAGTTGGCCGCAGTCAGAAAATACACTTGACCATTTTCCTCCGATCATACTAGGACGTGGTCGAGGCCATACTTCAGAGACTGGAGATGTGTCCGGTTTTTGAGAGGGTGTCCATCAACCATATCATCAGCATACTCAACCAAAAGACAGTCGTTAGGCGATCTTAGAACATGGGTGTGGGGATAGAATGGAACCTTGAAGAACTTCGCAGTTATTAGGAAGGACCGTAGATTTCCGCTTGCCAGATTGAACCAAATGGGTGCGGGAAGTAAAATAATCGCTAAGCCAAGAGACGACCCAGTCTGGAGAGCCGCACACAGATGTTTCGGTAAGGAGGAGAGGGCGCGGGATGGTAGTGAAAGCGGAGGAGTAGTCAAGCAAACCCACATGCGTACAAGCGGCAACGCTTATCTAATTCTTTTAGGGCAGAGTGGAACACATGAGCAACAGCATCTAAAGTACAACGTTTGGCTTTAAATGCAAATCGTAGAGGATCTGCGAAACTGGACGAGAATGGCTTTATTGTATCTAGGACAACGCTTTCCGCAAACCTTCATTAGTTAGGTCTCCTACCGTATCGACTGACTAACATTCGAGCTACCTTCGACACATAACTACCACATTACAGGTGATTAAGTGCACCATTAATTGCGCCAACTTGTGAAATTTCGGAACTTGACTGGAGACTATACATCCAGCTCGCTGATAATTAATAATCTCAGGGTCCTTCTTGTTCACGTGTGATCCTAGTTGTTCATCATCACCGTCTTCGAGACACGATGCGATGGCCGTGTGAGTATGTCAGATACCGTTCCTGACCTACCTCATGGTGGATAGGCACGAACTGCGTATTCGAGTCCTCGTAAGCACGAACCACCCACTCTGCATCAATGAAGGTGACACTGGGTCGAAGGAACGACCCACTTCAAAAGAAGGCAGAGTTTGGCTTCCGCCGTCATCGTAGAACCACCGACATGATCGTCGCCGCCCCTCAACTGCAGGAAAAGTGTCAGGAGATGCCGACCCACTTCTACACTACCCTCGTAGATCTGACGAAAGATTTCGACATGGTGAATCGTGACAGACGGTGAAAAATTAAGCAGAAACTCGTCTGTCCCGAGGGATTCGCTGAGGTGGTGTATCACCTCCAAGATGGCATGATGGCGCCAGTCACGGATAATGGGGATGTATCAGAGGCATTCGCTGTGACCAACAGTGTGAATCAGGGCTGCGTTCTCGCACCTACTCTCTTCAGTCTCATGTTCTCTGACATGCTGATGGACGCCTACCGTGACGAACGCACTGGGATCCGTATCGCCTACAGGACGGACGGCCACCTACTCAGTCCTAGGCTGATGTACTTTCAATCGCGTATTTCTCTTCGCCGACGACTGCGCTCTCAACGCCACCTCGGAAGGTGTCATGCAGATCAGCATGGACAGGGAGGGGGTTTATTATAGGTCTGACGTTACTTCGTCTACCCCACCTTCAGAGACTGGGAAGCGATTTGCACAGCTCTCCTTATATAGGGCACTTTGTTTGATGCGTGGTCTGGCAATGCCGCCTGTGTGACTGCATTTGACCCGCATGTCACCGTGACCTAAATCGTCCCCGCCCTCGTCGGCCGCGAAGATGGTTTCCGCGCGAGGCTTCTCACTAGCCTCGCGAGAGCTCGAAGCCAATCAACACTGCCTATTCCCTGATTGGCTGGTGGACGAGAACTGGGACAGAGCGAAAGGGACACACACGCCCTATGAGGGCGGGGGCGGGGGTAACAACCTCAACGTTGGACACCAACACAATCAACTTGCCTGGACTGACAGCTCACGGCGACTACTTGCAGGGCCTTCAGTACGCACCTCCTCAGCAGTAAAGATTGTCCAACCCTATTCGTCTTCAATGACTTCTGATAAGGCAACATTTGTCCTGTCGACCATACCATTGTGAACTTTCGAGTCAGCCTCCAATCGCACCAGTGGTGACCTCCGACGTCCACCCTTCTAACATTTACCTTCTGACATTCTCTGTGTTCTATATCCTATCTCTGATTGTACCCCTAACGATGGGATACACAGATGCTGCTATTTCTCTCCATAGAGTCACTGTGTCCCTTCTAGAATTTTGACAGCAAGCTTCAGAACTCTACTTTTTTCCGTATCGCGGCCACCATTTACTCTGCGTAGACAATTCAGTCTAACTGAGGCTCTTCCCCCAACCCAACATTCCCTCAGACGTTTAAACTTTCTTATGCGACCCTCACACTGATGCTATTTACACCGAGCTTCTTCGACCCACTCCACTTTCTGATCGTCAACGCTACCATGCTCTCGTAAAAGAAGAAGAAGATGAAGAAAAAAAGAAGAAAACGAAGATGAAGGAGGAGGAGGAGGAGGAGGAGGAGGAGAAAAGGAAGAAGACGAAGTTGAAGAAGAAGAAGAAGAAGAAGAAGAAGAAGAAGAAGAAGAAGAAGAAGAAGAAGAAGAAGAAGAAGAAGAAGGTTTGGGCGACCGCAAGCCCTCTGAACTTCTCCGCCTCAAAGGCCATAAAGACTTGCCTAATTAGCTGCAATATATACATGGCCGACTTGACCGCCTTCGCGCAGTTCAGTATTGGCTAGAATGAGGATGTAATCCACACACCCAATTACTTCTGCCTATCAACATGCTGCAATGGTGTACAGTTTAGAAAGTAATTCCTGGGCTCGGAGTCTCTGCAGCTGCCGTGTTGAACAAAGTTTTACTTACTTACGTTGGAGAGCATAAGCCGGCGCACACAATAAGTTCGTTCTGTCTAATGTCAGAAGTGAAGAGGTAGTGAGAACTGGCTTATTCTGTACACAGGGCGTATTGCCGCGCGTTGGCTGTTTGCTTGTGGTCAGAGGAAAGCGTCCGCTCGGGTGAGCGGAAGTCGTGATGTGAGGTTTATTGCGTGGGCGTGAGCACATCATGAGGGAATGTGTAGGTGAGTGCAGGACATGTGATTGGACGGAGTCGGGGGTGCATGCTCAGAAGGGCGCGCAGGGGTAAAAAGCGGGGAGGTTGGAAGCGAGTGAGGCGGTGAGAGACTGCGTGCGCACACGTGATCCGTTGAAGGCGAGCAAGAGGCGGCCCAGAACAGACCAGAGGGATGGCCGTGCGTCAGCGGAGTGCCTGTTGTCGCGGTCATCGGCTGACAACGAGGCACCGCAAAGGAGGGGAGGGGGGAAGGGGGCATTGAAGCGGATGCCACAGGAGTATGACAAAACACGGAGTCCTCTTACGGTCGGGCATGTGTACATTGATATTACATCCAAATTTAAACAATGCTACAGGTCGAGGTCTCCTGTCATCCGGAAAAAAATTTCACATATATCCGCATTTATACTGTACCAGATAGTGCATAGATATTTGTGCTGGCATTTTGCAATCTTAAAAAATCTAACTACATTTTCTCCTATCAGAATCATTGAAGAAAGTGCATGTTTAAGCCCAATCGAATTGGTGGAAGCCGAGGACTGCTCGTCTGTGGCCGACAACTGCGGCATTTCGTCAGCAGTTTCAGCAACTACGCATCTCCTCCCTCCTTCCCAATTGGCCTCAGGGATCACTACATAGATCACATGTTTGGCGCCTACGAGGAGGTCCTTTCCACCGGGATCCGCTATCTGCTCCAGGCGCCTAGGTGCCAACAATATTCTCCTATTTCCCGCTCCCCGCTTGTCTCTGTCATCACTGATTACGACGTCTTAACATAAATGCTTTTCTTCCATGGGGTTTGGTGTTGTGTGTTTTTACGAACTGGACGTGCCGCCACACACCGAATGTTGGCATGTGCTATGGGTGAGCATCGTCAATTAGGCCTGCCAGACTGCGATCTAGTTCCCGCTGTTTATGCAGCGCATCCATTGCGTGGTTTGTTTCAGGGGCAAATGTCGCGGAGATAACGCTGCACGACGGTGCCGTGTGAGCGATAGCGCATCATCCCCCCAGGCCATGAGCACATGTGCGCAAACTATGCACGGCAGAAATGCCAGCGAGCTGCCCGCCCCTCCCCCAGTCCACTGGCTGACAAGATATGTCTGTCCACCCTCCCTCCTTTAGGTTTACTGCGATAGGCTCTGATCCACCGGGCCTCGGTTTCGGCACTTCCCCCGCCTGCGACTGCAGTGATCCGGAGGTCCTGCAGCAAGATGCCCGAGTTGGCGTGAATTTGATGCATCAACACGGTCATCTGCCCTTCTTCTGTGTCAGTTGGTGAGAGGGCAACCAGTCAGCCATCCGGGCAGCATCGGAGTTATGGGTGCTGACATCAACCTCCTGTCAACCGACCTCTCGTCTGACGTCTCGATTTAATTATCTGTACCCCCTTAAGGTCGATAAGTACTAAAACAAAAAAGCGCGATAAATGCACCGAGACAGTGCACCAATTTTTATTTAATATTTGAATGTGTTGTCACATTTGGTTTTCTTGCTTTCCATGTATCCCACACCATAAACAGGCCCGTCACGTTATATCAGCCACTGTACGCAGTCTCCTCATTCCCAGACCGCCTGACTCGAGCAAGCCACCGAGGGTGATGTCTGTCAAAGTCGGCCCCGTCTCTTAATGTTTTCACTTTACACGGAACAATGAGCTCTGCCTTGATTAGGACTGGCCAACAATTGTTTCTTAACGATGTGAAAACTGGCGGTGTAACACGTCCCTTCTCAGGACCTAGAGTCAGACTCCGTGCCTCATTGTTGATGTGGACCTCGGATTACGCTCGACTGGGTGATATCTCCCTCACCCCCCTCCCCAAGTGGAGTCTGGAAGGTGGTGTGCAGTTAGGGAATTGGTAGTGTGTGGCGGGCGTATATGATCTGTACGGATGTGGTCAGCCTGATCAGTGAACAGATGAGGTTGATAAGGAGAATGACCACATAATTCGCTGCTATCAACACGCTTACTGATGCCATGTTTTCATTTCGGCCGCCGCTATTGTGATACAATGAGCTAATCTGTGAACTGGGTCCTCTAGGTGGAATCATTTGATCGCCACGAGGCACGACCTGCACCGGCTGCGGGCAGACTGGAAGCAGCACTGGTGACCTTCGTGGGGGCCAGTTTACTGTGAGGCAGACCTACGCATCATCTCCCTCCCTCTCACACCCACCGGACTCCGATGGAAAGACAATGTCCAGATGACTGGAGGTGGGATCGGGCGCAGTGGTGGACAAAGCTACAAACTGTCCGTCTATGCATTCCCTCACGCGACCTGGTCAAGCATCGAGCGGTAATGGTGTTGGCGGTGGATTTTAGATAGGAGGAGGAGGAAGCGGATGATGGGGGCTGACAGTATTCATCCGTAGCATTTGAGTGTTGCCGGCCACCCTCCTTGTTTTCCTACATTGCTAATCCAGTCATTAGGCTAATGCGTCACTCCTGTTCACCTTCAGCGACATCCTTCGATGTCTCTGGGTTGATTTTTAGGTAAAGCACCCTAACGAACAGACTTGCGTGCGGACAGTCTCAGATGAGACCGCGCCTTTGTCGGTGGGGCGGATAGCGCCCTGACCACTACCGAATTTCTGCACAGAAGATCCGGCCTCTACTGCTGTCTTCCCCAATCTCACGTCATGCACTTGGTCATCTCACAACCCACATAGTTTGATAGGCAGCAACTTACGGAATAGATCAGCCTTCACCGTATACATGTGCGTGAAGAATTCAGTAATGGCGATGTGAGCGTAAAATCGCAGTGCAGACAACGTCAACTTTGATGACGTGGATGCGGATATCATCGGTGAGGTATGGGGAAAATTTGTGTGGACACACATGGAATATGCGGTACAGGCTTGGCGTCCGTTACTTCGGGAGGGCATAGCTCATCTTGAAGGTGGTGTGCAAGGACGTGCTAGATAGCTTGTCCATGAACTCAAATACTTGACGTACGAATAGCGCCTGACAGCCTTAAACGTTTATCGTCTCCAATATCGACAAGACGTCCGTGAGCTTTTACTCACGTTCCTGTTGTTACGGCCAATTGATCTTGATGTGGACTGACAAAATCTATTCGAAATGGCACCAAAGACGAATCTTCGACGTCATGATTGCCAACACGACAGGGAAATACGCCGCAACAATCAACGCCATATGTCCTGACAGACTTGATTTCACAACGCATCCACTGTTATCCCCATGTATATATAGTTCTTCGTTTTATGTGACATTCCCTCCACACAGTTTATGGGGCTTAGCTTCCAACTAATTGTGGATTATCATCTACCACTCCTCTAGTTCCTGCCGAATTTCAACTGGTCGTGTGTGTGTGCGTGTGTGTGTGACACTGAGATCGGGTTGGAGAAGTGAGCGCGATGCTTGTCATGCTCAGCCCCAACTCTCTGTTTCCCACTTTAAACAGAATTCAAACTGGTCCTGTGTGGCTCACGTGGATGGGCTGTGCATATTTCTGCGTCAGTGCGTCAACGCTCACTTCCGACCTCCCGCCTGCCCATCACACCTCGCCCCTTTCGGGTAACCCGTGACCTAGCCATAGTTCAGTTCTCACAGCTACCACCAATGCCTCCTTCATTCCCATGTGCCTACCTCTTCCTAAAAATATTTCATTATTCCACTATTATCCAATATTCTAATTCATCACATAGCTATGACCACGTCCAATTATTATTAGCTGGTATCTCCACCGACGTACACATAAGTCCAAAGTCAGAGTTGCATTTAAATGACAAAGTAGTATTTCATTAGTCAAGAACAAACATGCACGAGGTCTGGGAGCACTGCCCTATGAAACCAGACTGTCAACTCTCAACCTGTTTCCCTTATATTAACATTTCGCATTATCAACGGCATAGACAGTTGTTTAGATCCCACTGATTAGTTTACTCAAGCTAACACGCCCACTTTGCGCGGTCATCCCGTAAAACTACGCGCAGGGAAAGAAAGGATCAATGGACGAAGGTTATATTTCAGTAACAGAGTAGTTGCAGCGTGGAATGCCCTGCCTACCGATGTTGTAGTTGCCTCCTGTGTGAATTCTTTGAAGTGTAGACTTGACGCTTATCATGCTTCCCAATCACCAGCCTCACATCCACTCACGTAACCCGACACTAACGTGTGCATTTGTGCTACTTGCAATTAGGAAGTAAGCGTTAATGATTACTATTTCTCGGCTAACTGGCAGCTGTCCGGCGTTATGTACAAAATTCCTTTTTCATCTTCAATGGTTTTTCCCTTAATAAACAGAAACACCCCAATGACAATCAGAAGAGGTCTGATATATGAAGGTGGGTTGCTGTGCGACTATCTGTGGACGCTCTAGCTGGCAGCTCTGAGCAAAACGGTCTCGAACGTATTTCGTCCTGCTTTCAAACGATATCCAGGTGACTTTGCAAATCAGCAGGCCACAGCCAATGAGATAACGTGGCAGAATGCGCATTCTGCAATCGCCTCTTCCAAGTCCACATAAGCAACCGTTTCAACCAGATGACACATCCCAATATTTGGAAAAAAATAGCACATCTTTCGGTGCATTTATCGCGCTTTTTATTTTAGTACTCGTCAGCATTAACAGAAACAGTGTATGAGGAGTACAGACACAGATCATTGAATCGCAATGTCAGGTGACACGAGGTTGGTGTCAGAGGACAAATAGCCGAATGCGCCACCAGCAGAACTGGCCAATGAAAACGCGGCTGACCGTCGAAATTCAAGTCTGATGCTGTCTGGATGGCTAACTGGTCGCCCTCTGACCAGCCGACGCAGGAGATGGGCAATTGGCCCAACTGCTGTATCAAATTCACGTCATGTCTGGCATCCTACAGCAGGTCCTCGGGATCACTCCAGTCGCGGGCTGAGGGTGGAATGCTGAGAACGCAGTCTGACGAATGAGAGTCCATCGCGGTAAACCTGCAGGCAGGAAGGGATGGAAGATGGGGACGGAGAGAATTACGTTGTCAACAGACGTCAGACACCATTGTCATGCATAGTTTACACCAGTGTGCACACAGCACGAAGGCTTTGTCGTGTAGCCGTCACACAGTACCCTCATGCAGCATTATCATCGCAAGCAAGCATCTAGAAATGAATGATCGTGAGCGACGATCGGGCGAAATCCTCCTTTTACATAAAGTGCTCTAAGATTACATTCATACTGATGTACGGCACTGATCTGCTTTCCATCATTCCGAAAAACTGCCCTTTGCTGCAATTGTCGCAGGAAGTCCAGATAGTGCATCACTGCCTGTCATTATCGGGACAGGGTCCACTGCGGGCAGTCATTCTGGAGAATACGGCCGACAGATTGACTGTCCGTTTTATCCTTATCTACAGGCGTGTGATGTGTAACTAACTGCAAGCTAGGTAAGATATTCGCAGAAGAAAAGACCCAGATCTAGCATGATACTACTGCGACGTCTCAAACTCTCACTCCGGTCCGCCATCAATGATCAATGAAAACATCGAAGGCTATTGAATCCCAGGACCTTGTGGGACATAGGTGTGTGCAAGACAGTTCACTCTCCAGACGTGCCTTAAAAGCAATACTTTTCTGACGTGTGTGCCAATGAGCGGTCTCTGTATGCTAGCATCCCCACCCAATCTTCAGTGTGTACAAATTGGCTACGTATTGTGGTCGACGGCATCTGCGTCAGTTGTATATCGTATTTCCGCATGCGACTTTCATGGTGTGTCCAGATCTATATCTACATCAGTTTGTAAATATACGCTACACGAAGCCGCCATGGAGAGCAAGCATTTCGCTTATGACGTCGTAATCAGTGATGGCGGAGACGAGGATGGGAGGGAGGGAATGAGCAGGATATTCTTGACTCCTTGGCGCTTGGCGCAGATAGCGGATTCTGACGGAAAGGGCCTCCTCGTAGGTACCATACATTTGATTTTTGCGGCGAGCCCTGCGGCCAATTCGGAAGGAGAGAGGAGACGAGCGGTCCTCAGCATCCACCAGGTCCATGGGGATTGAACATGCACTTTCTACAATGATTCCGATAGGAGAATCTGTAGGTGGATTTTTAAAATTGCAAAATGCCCGTACAAATGTGTCTGTATTCTCTGGTACAGCATAAATGCAGATAAATGTGCAATTTGTCCAGAAAGACAGGGCGCATCGGCCTGTAACACTATTTAACTGTGGATGCAAAATCAATGAAGACATGCCCAATATTAAGAGCGCTCTGGATTTTGTCCTACTCCAATGCAGGTCTCTTCTCGTAGGTTCGCGTACCAGGTCGGTCACGGTTGATGAAAAATGCAATCTTGTGTCCAAATGTAGCACGATCTCGTAAAGGTTCAGTCTCGTCTTCGGGGCTCAGTCTGATATTTTCATGGTGATTTAATTGAGATCTCAGATCTATGGATTTCGTGTGACCCAGCTTGACAGGAAGTGTGTAGGGCTGTCCCTCATGTCTTCTTCTTCTTCTTCTTCTTCTTCTTCTTCTTCTTCTTCTTCTTCTTCTTCTTCTTCTTCTTCTTCTCCATGGTACGGCTGCGATAATGCCTGATCTAGCCGGCATCATCGAGGCCTTCTCTGCTTGTCAGTCGCATTTATATAACATCATTCGTTCTTTCGCCTGTGTTAGAGAGAGGGAGAGGGAGAGAGGGAGCACGATAGATCTCATTTTGCAAGTGTCATTCTAAAATTTTCAGCAAATAGGCCTCCATCCACAGTGGATAAAAATGGGGCATGCAAAGCAGATACAGCTCGTGACCGGTCTCATGAAATATTGATCGAAATTCTGAATGGAGTTTTCGGTTAGGAAGGATTACGTAGGTGGGGTTGTAACATTGATTATCGTACGGCATAACGCTATATATTTCGGACTCGCCAGGATGTCGCCTTTTGAATGCATTCCTTTTCGACCTCATGCAGAAACCACAATCTGTAAAAATGATCACTTATTCTGCATGCATTTTTCAAATTAATTTTCGTCTCTGCCGATAAATTCAAATATATTTTGTAGAAGAAGTGCACAAAATATACACCATTTAAACCTTTGGTCGGTAACCACATTGTGCTCACATTTTTTACCCGAAAGTGTGTATTTCAGTTTTGAAAATGTTTCCCAATTCCCGAATCATTTCGAGCCTGATCTGCCACTGCATTAGCGCTAGTCGTTTGCAGTCTGCACGGTGTACGCTTTCCGTGCAAGGAAAATCACATACTCCTCTATGCCTTTAAGAAGATACTATATGGATTTCATGAACTTCTGCAATGGATGTGGACTATGTTGTACATTTGATGAGGAGCACTGTGACACTTATATGTGCCATGCTGTATGTATGGTCATCGCACGGTCTTAGAAATCTCGTAATGCAAAACTTTTTTTAAAACCGAAGGATAAAATTGCTTGGGGTATAAAATGTAAAGAGGATGTGACCTTCTACCAAACTACTAAAAGAAAGCATATTTTTGCGCCTTTTCTATATAATGTATTTAAATTTATTTTGTCAGCGAAAATTGATGTGAATAATTCATAGTAAATAAGTAGTCATTTTTCAACCAGCGTGGTTTCTTCAGAAGATTGTAAGCAAGTTCATTCAAATGGCGACATTCTGTCGAGTACGAAATTCAATAGCGTTATGCTGAATGATAATCAGTGTTACAATCCCACCCAAGTAATTCTTCCCAATCGAAGCATTTCCGCCAATATTTCATGATATCGGTCAATCACTGTGGTGAACAGAAGATCAGAAGTCTGCCACCGTTGTATACCGACGTGGCTGATGGACTTCGGCCGAAATATTCATACATACAGATTTTGGTGTGAGCCTACAGACCTTAAGGATGCAGATGTACTCCAGGTTTGCAGTTAATTTCTAAGGAAATTTAAGGAGCAACGATGACCTAATTATTGTACTTCAGATAAACAAAGAGGGGAAAATGTATGTATATAATTCGCGAAATAGGCCAACAGATGTACATATAAGAAAACTCCCATGTGACTGAAGAGTAGAAAAAAAAGATAACTAACCTGCCCTGTGACGATGGCGGTGGCTGGGATGTTGTGTGGTAGGACAGTCAGCGCTTGAGGCGAGCTTGTTTGCCTATGGCAGTCCGTTCTCCTGGTCGACAGTCTGTTATTCTTTCACGACGCCTTCTGTCAGCCTGACACCTCCTGCCATTTGCAACGCACGTGACATGGCCACGTCGTGGAGACGACTTGACGCCAATCGGCGTTGTGTCATTTGATAAGAAGTAGAAGCGATCGCTGGAATAAGAGCCTTATTCGCCCGACGGTTCGGATTCTCCCTCGAAGCCATCATCAGAGGCAGTAGCAGAAACGGGTGATTCGTCCACGGGAGGTTGCAGTATTTATAGGATGCAGTCGCTATGCCACTGCATGCCAATGATAATTAATCGCCCTCCCGCCCCCCTCATCGGGGATTGTTGCCCGCTGGTGCGCTAATTGCTTCATGGACTGCATGCAAGTTGTCAATTGCTGAAATCTCATCACTCGTGTTGCATGCTGGCGGGATGATTTCTCGGCCATCTGGCTCAGCGGCCTGCGGGCAGGGAGTGAAAGCATGCACAAGGATTGCATCATTCGCCATGATCTGATGCTGTCTCTGATGTGAACCTGAAAGGTCAATTCGTATTTCCACGGTTGCGTCTCCTCCGCCTTCCTGAAATAAAATATTTAAACACATGATTGGACCTCGGCTTTTAAATATATGTTCTCATAGTGAGGTGGGAGGAAGCAGCGAGCGTGTATGTACAGGGACAGCCACAACCTGTCTTTGCTCTGCACTGACCTAGACAACTCCGGAATAAGATGTGCATCACATCTACGCACATCGCTCGATTCTCAATATGCTCCTACTATAACAATCATCGTCTTGCCATGTCTCACATTGGTCTGGAGGAAACTAGACAAAGCATATATCCCGAATGCCAAGTATTTTTCAGCACGACTACACCGCATCATGATGGCTTGTTGCCTAAAATCAAGGCCAAATGTGATATCTCAGCGTGTCTGTTGCGGTCATATACGCTGGTTCTTCATGTTGACCTGGACTCCTTTGGAATTTTGATAAAAAGGAACCTTCAAATAAGCCCCTCATATGCGCGCAAGCCCGTTCTTAATCCGAGCAGGATTTTCCGGCGTGTTTGCAAGTCACTCTGCGTACTTTAATCTTCTCCCATTTGTCCTCTCCGTCCACCAGCGCACAATATCAAGCATTCGTCACACACAGTCCTATGTGTGTCGCACGTAAAACAGAGACGTCACGTCATCTTAGCCATCAGTCTACGTCCACTCCCCCTGCCTGTCGCTACTCCGTCAGCCTCATCGGCTGGTTCGGTTATTTGAATGTGCCCCTACGAGACTGCGCGATAACTAACTGTTAGCTCATGCTCGCAATTGACTGTGTACACGAAACCTCTAAGGATGAGTGCAGTTTATGCCAAAGTCAAACAACTGCAGCCACGTCAATATTCACAACGGACAGCAATCCACCGCCAGTCCCTTCTGTCATTGACAATATTTCTGTTTGTGGATCATCGTCGGAGACACTTTTTGGCTCATATAGGCCGAGCAGTTGTTTCAGAGTCTCGGGCGACCTGCGGACTGGTTAAGGAAATTGCAGCCATTGGCGAACTCCGCCGTGTGCCGCACAGACTGAAGGCAGCACTGGCGGCGTTCGCATGAATCCGTTTATTGTGAGGCAGCTCTGTGCAACATCTACCCCACTCCCTCCCTCCCTCTTTCCCACCCACACCCACCGGACTCCGATGGAAAGACAATGTCCAGATGACCGGAGGTGGGATCGGGTGCAATGGTGGACAAAGCTGCAAACAGTCCGTGTATGCGTTCGCTGACGCGATCTGGTAAAGCATCGGGTTGTGTGAAAGAACATGCATCGCGCATGCATGAGCGCTGCATGTCCCGTCCGTGTGTCGGGCGATGTGGAGTGAGTTCCTGTGTGGTGTATGTGCTGGTGGATAGAGGTGAATACGACCTAGAGCGTCTCCGACCCGTCGACACACATCTACCTCAGTTATATGGCTTGCCCAAGATCCACATAAATGGTACACCGGCTCTAGACATGAAAAACTCGCCGCCCCATGCTATAGCGAAATGGCTAGCGAAGAAACTTAAGCACATACAGTACCGGTTATCATCACATAGTTATCGGTATACCTTTTAATTCGTTAACGGCATGAACGATCCCGACCTAATGGGAAAGGTTATGTTTTCGCTAGACGTCTCTTCTCTTTGTACGAACATACCGGTCACAGTAATCGTCAATTACCTCTGTGAATCCATTGCCTCCAATCATCATGATATAGGACTGCCGGTGGATGCTCTCAAAGAATTGCTGCTGAGATGTACCTTAAACGTACAGCTTCTGTTTGACTACAATCTGTATAGACAAATCGACGAAGTAGTTATAGGCCCGTCCCTTCGTCCGCTTTTGACGAATATGTTCATGGGCAAGTTAGAAGCTTTCGAACTTCTTCTCCAGATCGATGGTCTGAGATATTATAAACGCTATGTGGATGATAGATTCGCGATTGCACCTAAACAAAACGACGTTTGAGTCCCACGTGTGGAGAGGACAAGGACCAACTGCCAGGCCAGACCACCTCTATGTGTAAGTACTCCATCACCTCCTCCTGCGGAGCAGAATATAGTGGTCGCACAATGCGACGTTTGTCAAAAGGAATAAGAGAGCACCTTCCAGCATGGTTAGAGGAGGGTCAAATGAAGAAAGTTAACAGGTCTATCCTCGCGCACATGATAGACGCGGACCACGGTGTAGATTCCGGGCAGGCCGTCTGGGTGATTTACAAGGTTCCGTCAAGCCATCCAAAATCACTTGGACAGCGTCTGTTGGCAGCGGCAGAGACGGCTGCATTCAGGTTGCACAAACAAATCCTATGCACGCTGAGATCTTCATGCATGCCTCGCAGTTAACATTGGCCAAAGTCACCAAGGCAGCCACCGGCCTATAATTACCCGTCCCAGTGTCCACTATTCCCCCTCCCCCTTGACACTGAGGGCAATATTGTTTTTCGTTTCACCCAACCCCTACTACAGAATAACGTCTACTTGCCCGCTTTTTATTATTAATCATTTTGATAGAAATATAAATTCCGCAAATATTCCCATGTTACACTTGAAAAGTCCAGTTGGCGAACACGCGTTTTCGGTACTTCTTCGTCAGGCCGATACAATTACATTAAGGAATGAAAATGTACAAAATCAACAGTGTTTATGGGTGTCCCAAGAGCTATTAAGTCATTAACACTCATCATCCCCACGCCGCCCGCATGACAAGGTCGGCGGGTGTTAGTCGTCAGAGCTAGGGGAGGGGAGGGGGATAAGAGAATTATTGAGTGATGTTCTTGGATTGAGTACACGGAGTACCCATCATCGTGATTAGGGATTTGAGGCGGCATGGCTTTATCACTTGGGGTTGGCGAGGTGAGACCCGGTCGATTTCGAGTTCTATCCTCGCACATTTAATCGATACGAACCGCCGAGTCGATGCCAAGAAAGCATTTCTGATTGTCTACCGGACACCAACATGATTCTCTAAAGGCCTACGCCAACGGATACTAGCAACGGCCGAGGCAGTAGCTATACGGCCAGCGACTCCGGTGTTATGCTGTCAGAAAACTCTGACACAAGCGCTTTATCTGCCGTGGCCAACGCCAACCCCAAGTGATAAAGCCATGCCGCCTCAAATCCCTAATCACGATGATGGGTACTCCGTGTACTCAATCCAAGAACATCACTCAAAGATTCTCTTACCCCCCTCCCCTCCCTAGCTCTGACGACTAACACCCGCCGACCTTGTCATGCGGGCGGCGTGGGGATGATGAGTGTTAATGACTTAATAGCTCTTGAGTCACCTATAAACACTGTTGATTTTGTACATTTTCATCCCTTCATGTAATTGTATTGGCCTGACGAAGAATTACCGAAAACGCGTGTTCGCCAACTTGACTTTTCAAGAAATATAAATGTGTAGGCCTGAAGGTAATTTATTGAAAGCAGACGTATGCACACCAAATTGTCTTTTGACAGACTATTGAAACAGAAAACACATTTATTAGCCTTTACAAACCATTCGACCGTGGCTTCTATTCAGTCTGAAGCGCATGCCACAAGCATTTCTCCTAGCGAAACGAATCTTACATGCAGACAAGTAATACCTTTCAGTCAAAGACTTTTGGCGACCAGACATGTTGGTTATGCAGCGCGCCTTTCGGCCAAGGTTACATGCGATTCGGAATTAACCGTACCAAAGTTAGCATTGAGTTGTCAGGACTGCGGATGTCCTAACAGTGATGATAGCATGCTCGTACGGATATTCGCTAGTGGTCAGCAAGATGTCTTCGTGCATGCAGTGACCTTGACTCCTAGGGCTTATAAAGTAAATTAACAATGGTTTGTAGTGGCTGGAAAAGGCGTTTTGTTTTAATGCGTCAAAATGCCTGACGTTAAACTTGGACAGGAATTTCAATACCAATTTGTCACCAAATTGTATTCTCGTGGCCACTTTGTTACTTCTAATTCTGCTCGTCAATACACCCGTGCATATTTATCCAAACATTAACCGATTTATTAAAAACATTCGTGACTCCGTATCGTTCCGTTTCTAACTATTTCCACTTTGATTCATCCCCGCCCTTCTCTTCATTGATCACATTATTTTAGCCTGACCTTATTGGCTATGCCCTCTGCCTAACATTTTCAACCAACACAAGTGCTATCCTTCACTCTCAGTGTCAATTCGCCAGTCATTTACTAAAATTATCCGACCTCAAGTACAACGACATCGTTTACTCAAGTCCAAAGACTCCACCTGCCAGCGAGCCGAAAACCGACATTCATATATTTGATCTTCCTTGACCGTGCGGACAGATGATATTGCATTGTGGCTGCGCGTTGTGGAACGGCGTCTCGCCCTGTGCTAGACTTACAGGGGAGGATACGAAATTTCATTGTGCTGCAGAAACACTGCCAATGGATATCGATACGGACCTTCGCGATATTGTAGATTGTCCGCCCACAGAAGCCCCGAATGCGGCCTGAAATTATGCATTCATCTGCCGCATTTCCCAATCAACGCAAAGACGTCTGCATCGCTTGATTCCGAAGAGGACCTTGGTGGCAGGAAGTCTACGCTGCTCCACGATGGCATGATGGCGCGAATAAAGAACAATGAAACTGTCTCAGAGGCATTCACAATGACCAACGGAATGAAGCAGGGCTGCATGCTCGCGCCCACTCTACTCAGCCTTACGTTCTTTGACGAAGCAGACACGATCGCCGGGATCGTGTCTCCTTCTTCAAGACTACTTCCTGGGACTCGGCTCTTCGCTTCTTACGTTCTTTGCCTACCGTGACGAACGCCCTGGGATCCGCATCGCCTACAGGACGGACGGCCAACTCCTCAATCACTGGCGGATGCATTTCCAGTCGCATGTATCCACAACTACCGTCCATGAACTTCTCTTCGCGGAAGATTGTGCTCTCAACGCGACCACACAAAGGGGCATGGATCTCATCGCCGTCGCCGCCGCCTGCGACAACTTAGGCCTGTTCATTAACACGCAGAAAACGGTGGTTATGCATCAACCGTCACCCACGGCTGTCTACGTCGCCCCCCAAATCAACCTGAACGAAGCCCAACTGCAAGTCGTGGACAACTTCGCCTATATTGGAAGCACACTCTCGCGCAACACAAACATCGAGGACGAGGTTGCCCGTCTGCTGTCCAAAGCCAGGCTGTAAGCTTCCGTGTGGAATCGCCACGGTCGCCAAATGATCAGCAAACTCAAGATGTACAAGACGGTCGTCTTGACAGCACTTCTGTACGGAACGGAGACCTGGACCGTCTACGCCAGCCATGCCGGGAAGTTTAACCACCGGGCTCCGTTCTCCTGGTCGCCAGTCTGGTTGTTATCTCATGACGCCTTCTGTCAGCTTAACTAACACCACCTGCCAGTTGCTACGCACGTGACATGGCCACGTCGTGGAGACAGCTTGAAACCAATCGGCGTTGTGTCATTTGCTGATCGGGTTTGTTGGCGGACAAAGGTCATGTGTGCACGCACGCACGCACCTCGGCTCACATCCAAAGGTTGGGCCTCGCCTCGCTGAAACCATTCTCGCCACTGCCTTCCATTCAGCTTCTGCAGCCCCCGTCACATGCTGTGTCTCAATCGTCTGTTTCCACAGCAAGCAACACCTCCTTCATTTCCATGTGCGTACCTCTGGGTACAACCATTCCATTGTGCGGTTAGCTGACAATGCCCACTATCAAAAATGCATGCTCCAACTCCTGGCCATTATTATTACATATTATTATTCACTTGTGTCCCGCCAGGCGCACGAAATTTCTTGCGCCCAACCCAGAAGGCACCGCCGTCCATACCATACTACCACATCTCTCTTCACCAGCATCTACTCTAAACATGACCACACTCAACACCACACCACGCTGGCACGTGATTGGCACATCTCTCCTCGAAAGCTGCAAGTGTTTCCCGGCTCCTTCTCCATGTGTCCCTCTGGTGCATGTGTGATCCGAGCCTGAGACTGTCACGATGCGTTAAACTCCGTGATGACTTGCAAGACTGCCAACTACCGTTGGAACTCAGACCTTGCATTTAGCCCAAGGTACGTTTGTGCTCAATGGTCGACTGGTGGACTGAGAGTCAGGCTGGAATGCCTCCTTCTCGACGGGACCTCTGACACTCTCTCACACACACTTGAAATGCATGTCGCCCACTCCCTTGTGTGTGAGATCCTGACGGTTGTGTCTGGGGAGGGAGAGGGGGGTCAGGTCATGTGTGTGGCACGTCCACGCAAAGCGGCTAGATTTATCGGTCATAGCGTCCACTCCCACCTGACCAGCTCGGAGTGCGATTGAGACTGAGGAAGTAAGACACATAACTAACACATTTCGGAACTTGATAGGAGACTATGCCTCCAGATTGCTGAGAATTCATTGTTTCAGGGTGTCTTGTTGTTCACGTGTGATCCGAGTTGATCATCATCACCGACTTCGAGACACGATGCGATGGCTGTGTGATCATGACAGATACGGTTCCTGACCTATCTGATGATGAATAACCATAAACTGCGCACTCGAGTCCTTGTAACGCAGGAACCACCCACCCTGCATCCACGAAGGTTACACTGGCTCGAACGAACGACCAACCTTCAAAAAAAGGCAGAGTTTGGTTTCCGCCATCACCGACATGATCTTCGCCGCCCGTCAACTGCAGGAAAAGCGTCACGAGATGCCGACCTAGTTCTACTCCACCCTCGTGGATCTGATGAAAGACTTCGACATGGTGCATCGTGACAGAGGGTGGAAAATTATGCAGAAAGTCGTCTGTCCCGATGGTGTCAGATGGTGTGTCAGCTGAACGATGGCATGATGGCGCGAGTCACGGACAATGGAGCTGTCTCGGAGGCATTCGCTGAGAACAGCAGAGTGAATCAGGGCTGCGCTCTCAGACCTAGCCTCTTCCAACCCGTTGCGTGGCACTTTTCTAACAATCAGTATAACAGTTCTGCATGCGCAGATAACGCGAACAGCAAGGGAGTTCCACCCTTTTCGAACTATCTCGGGTCCTATGCTCAGGGCAATTGCGTCGGCAGTACCCACCCTATCCCCCTCCCTCTTCCCCACACACACACACGCACACACACACACACAGTAATCCGCTTATTTGCCACTCAGAATAAACGAAAACAATCTCCGGGTCAGATCTCATTTCGTTGCCTTACCTGCAGCATACAGACCCCAGCCTAACCCCATTACCCTAACCCCAACTCCAACCCACAACCCTGATACCTAATCGCAGTCCCTAACCCTAACCTCCAACATGTACGGCTACGAAATAGGATCTTGCCCATCGCCGAGATACTTTGCAGTGAATCATTTTATTTCAGTGAATAGATTTAAGAATAAAGTTTTCGACAGAGGACTGAAAGAAATCAGCATGCAACTTGTGTGGCAGCTGCCAGCTAGCCTTCTGATCCGCGTCAGACCTGGCGGGCCAGAGGGTTGAACAGCAGCCCGAACAGGCGAGGAGAGCCGATTCAGTCGATTGACTGTTGGCATTCTGGTATCGCCTTGCCTCAGAGTGCCGGGATGCAATGTGCAGTAGTGGCATCCCGAGGAGACGCTGCGGCAGGCAGCGGAGATCGGCAGGACCCATACGTCGCATCTCTTTCGTCTCAACGTAGGCAGGCCAACTATCCCGCATGTACGCTCTACCATAGACAGCCTGCAGCGGAAGACGACGGCTGTCTGGCAAGAAGTCCACCGAACCGGGGGTGCCTCCCATAATCTGACCACCATTCCCCGATCCGTCCTCTGCGCCAATATCTTCCTCCAGCTCCCAGACCACCAAGCCCTCAATCGAGCCTGAATGCATGAATTAAGCTTCCTTCGCATGTCGGCGTACAATAAGCAGGTAGCAAATGGAAAAGACTTGACGGTAGCACGCTGATCACACACACACACACCCACACACGAAATAATAATGATAGCATTTCCCATCATTCCGCTTTCATGTTCAGGCAAAATTAATTGTCTAGGAGGGCATTCAGTGACCCATTGAAGTGAAAAATCGGTAGACAGGAGAAATCCCTTAAAATGTGGTAATTTGTGGAGGTATTTGGAATACTGGCCGACTAGGTAAAACAGAGGAACTGGTGTTGAAACTGGAGCATTCCTTACTAAAATAAAACTGGTACACTTAGATGTGCCATGACGAACTAGGAGTGGTAGCTTGACGGGGCACCTCGGTACTTCCCAGAACGGAAGGTCAGGCTGAAAGGGCTGTTTCTTGATGTGTCCTTTCAGGTTTTCACAGTAGTCAGAAGTAAATTTGAACTAGTTTGGTTGCATTCACCGCGCTGTGTGCGTGTGTGTGTCTAAGGAGTACAGGTAATCAAATCATGAGGCCAGGCAACTGGCCATTTGACAGTGTCCACAATATGCGCATTCTAGAACAAATAAGCAAATGCGCCACCAGCAGCAGCAGCAGAGTGAGCCACTTAAAATGTGACTGACCGTCCATATTCAACTCCGATGCTGCTCGATGGCTGACAGGGCGCCCTCTGACCAGCCGATGCAGGAGAAGGGCAGATGACCCAGCTGGCGCATCAAATTCACGCCAACTCTGGCATCCTGCAGCAGAACCTCGGAATCACTCCAATCGCGGGTGGGGGGAGTGCTGAAACCGCAGCCTGGCGGATCGAAGGCTATCGCGGTAAACCTAAAGCGGGGAGGGGGGGGGG